CCCCAAGTTGAAAAGTTATAATAGGGAGGCTGTGAGGATTTTTTTTTTTTAGCCTATGGACCAGTATTTACACTAGTTTCCTTGATCTGGTTTCCTCAGCTATAAAAATACAGTCCTAGCTCCTCCAAAAGTCTGTTACAGCCAGCAAGATTCACAACTGCCAAATCACCCAGGATTTTGTATTTCATTTAAGAAGTCTGACAATGTTTTCATGCACAATATGATACAGCCAAAACCACATTTGCCTGGGAATCAGAAAACCTGAGTTCTAGTCTAAATCTAGCCCTAAACAAGCTGTGCAACATAGCTAAGTTTGTTGACCATTTGGGGTCTCAGCAGAGAAAACAAAAATTTTGGAATCAGAATTGAAGCAGAAGAGTACTAAGGTACCCCCCCGCCCCCACCACCGTCTCCACCTCTGGCTCTAAAATGTCATGTTGTTGTGAAATGCTATCTTTCATCTTCTGGGGCCTAGTGAGAGGCCAGGGTCCCAGGCAGCAAGTGCTAGAGAAAAGGTAAGGATAATTTATAATGAAGTCCCTTGATCTCAGTTTCCCTGAACTATGCACCTCTTCAGTCTTTAAAATGGCTACAAGACACACTAGCATTTCAAACACTGCTGTTGCCTATGACAGGTGAACTCAGGGAGATTAGGAAGTAGCAAAATTCTGTTTTTGTTTTTCTTCAAGACAGAATAGGTATGTAAGCATTAACTGTTGCTATTATACATACTATTCAACATTCCCCATTCATTTTTCATGAACTCACACAACATATCAAAGGGATGATGCTCTACTCCTTAGTGCGTCTCTCAGAACTACAGACAGACTCATTTCTCTCTGTCAGCAAACGTGAAGGCCAGAGTCTTCAGTTGTGAAAATATCTTACGGAAATAGAAAAAGCTTTACAGAATAGTATATTCAACCCCCACACAACCCCACATTCCCATCTTCTCTATACACTGCCTCCAGAAACAAGCACTGTGTGCACAAGTCAAACAGATACCTAAGCCCCCAGTGGACAGCAGCTTAGGCACCAGTGGGCAGGCACAGAGCAGGCAGAGGGTAAGCACTGGAGCAGGACTGGATTAAGGCCTCCAGAGCTGCTCCAGGCCTCCATAGCTCCTACTACCTCAACAATCCTTGCCACAACTGCTTTCCCATTCACTACAGAGAAACCCACTTGAGCATCTCTCTTCAGATATTATTCCACAGATACACATAGAAAAAAATCACCACAGGAGAGTTTGAAAAAGATGATGATCAATGACTTTGATTGTGTCCCATAGGATGGAAATTAGGGTGAAAGACTGGGAGTTTGGGGTGGGCGCAGTGGCTCACGCCTGTAATCCCAACACCTTGGGAGGCTGAGGTGGGCAGATCACTTGAGGTCAGGAGTTCAAGACTAGCCTGGCCAATACGCTGAAATTCTGTCTCTACCAAAAATACACAAATTAGCCGGGCATGGTGGCATACACCTGTAATCCCAGCTACTTGGGAGGCTGAGGTGGGAGAATCGCTTGAACCTGGGAGGCGAAGGCTGCAGTGAGCCGAGATCGCGCCATTGCACCCCAACCTGGGTGACAGAACAACTCTGTCTAGAAAAAAAAAAAAAAAAAAGGTCAGTCGCAGTGGCTCACACCTGTAATCCCAGCACTTTGGGAGGCCGAGGCGGGCAGATCATGAGGTCAGGAGATTTCATCCTGGCTAACACGGTGAAACTCCGTCTCTACTAAAAATACAAAAAATTGGCCGGGCGTGGTGGCGGCTGCCTATAGTCCCAGCTACTCGGGAGGCTGAGGCAGGAGAATGGCGTGAACCCAGGAGGTGGAGCTTGCAGTGAGCCAAGATCGTGCCACTGCACTCCAGCCTGGGTGACAGAGTGAGACTCCGTCTCAAAAAAAAAAAAGAAAAGAAAAAGATTTGGCATTTGGAACCATCAGTTCTAGTTCCTACTCTGCCTGTAACCCCGGTTACTTGCCATGGGCAAGTCATCTGGCAACTCTGGCCTTAGTTCTCTCACTTATAAAATGAGTAGATTTGACAAAACAATCTCTAGTATATTTGTCAGATCTAAACTTCTATCAGTCTATAGTAAAATTACTAAGAACTAGGAAAGCATAGTTTATATTATAAATCAAACTTAGCTATAATATGGAAAGCATTTAAATATATAGATTCTGAGGCCCCACCCAGGACCTTTACAGAGTTCCTTACACAACTGACTGGGCAGTATGACCAAAGGATAAGGATGAGCTCGCTGGCTGAACCTGTGCTAGTATTCAGAAACTGACATTCTGTGGGGTAATCAGTATTCACATTAATGAATGGAAAAATGTCTATTTAATTTGCCAATGATCACAAGCTAGCAGGGCAAATCAGTATTTCAAACAAATTTAGAGATTGAAGGAGAGTGGTCAGAAGCCAAGAGCATAAATGTCAGAGAGGAAAGATCAAATGTACTGCCCTGGAGAAGAAAGAAAAAGTTCACTAAGATGAAGTTAGTAAGGCTATATATATCAGCAAAAGATCTGAATGTCAGAGTAGATAACTGACCAGGAATCAGAACATTAGCAGTGGGCCTGAAGGAATGTAGGAATTGACTGAGGTTGTCCTTGCTTTGCATGGTTCTAAAATGAAAGACTGTCAGTCCCCAAACCATAGGGTTGAAATTTCAGTTGCCATGGTTTATTAACTGTGAGTAATTAAATGAAGTACAAACTTGATTGCTAGCTCTTCAGTTCACAACATAAATAACAGATGTGTATCATGATCAGTGACAAATCACGTCACTTCTTTCACAGTCTGTTGGTGACTAGTAACTGTGCATCTGTTATTCAGTTAATGCACAAACAACAAAGTGTGCAGTGGGGTTGCCTCCTTGTCTTCCAATGATGAAACCCAAAAACAGATAACTGAAAGAGGGAACTGGCTAACAAAGATGAAAATGCAGCAAAGTAACAAAAAGTGGTAACGGTAATGTACATAGGGTTATAGAAGAAATAGCTAACTGTGAGATTATTGACATTGCTGCTATATAAGGGACTCTAGATATGCACCAGAGGAACTTAGTGAAGGAAAACTGATCTATGTAAATGAGGAAAGTGGTTGGGACAAAAGGCATGAAGATGTCCCAGAGGAAGTGATGCTGGCAAAAACTTCACATTAAAGAAACTCTTGCAGATATTTCATGACACTGAAAGCACAAAGTGTAAAATATTGGAAGCTCATTCAAACTTAGAAGGGAGTATGATGACAACTCACCAAGGCACAGAAAAGGTGTTTTCTCAGTATCATAAACCATATGACAAAAAGGAGGCAAGTACGATTCAAATTACTTGGGATTCTTTTTTTTTTTTTTTTTAATATAAATACAGACACACCTGGTTTTACTGTGCTTCGCTTTATTGTGCTTTGTAGATATTGTGGTGTTTTTTTTTAAATAAATCGAAGGTTTGTGGCAACCCTGCACTGAGTCTTTCAGCACCATTTTTCCAACAGCACGTGCTCATTTTGTGTGTCTGTTACATTTTGTTAATTCTCACAATATTTCCAACTTTTTCATGATATCTGTTATGTTAATCTGTGATCAGTGATCTTTGATATTACTATTCCAATTGTTTTGGGGTGCCATGAACCACACGCATAGAAGACAGTGAACATAACCCATAAATGTGTGTGTCCTAGCAGCTCCACTGACAGGGTATTCCTCCATTTTCCTCCCTCTCTTCAGGTTTTCCTATTCCTCCAGATACCACAATATGGAAATTAGGCCAATTAATAACCCTAAAATGGCCTCTTTAAGTGTTTAAGTGAAAGGAAGAGTCACATGTCTCTTAACTTTAAAGCAAAACCTAGAAATGATTAAGCTTAATGAGAAAAACACGTTGAAAGGCCAAAAGCTAGGCATCTTGTGCCAGTTAGCCAAGTTGTGAATGCAGAGAAAAAATTCTTGATGGATATTCAAAGTGCTACTCCAGTGAACACATGAATGGAAAAGTGAGAGAGCCTTCTTGCCAATATGGAGAAAGTTTTAATGGTCTAGATAGAACAGCGGTCCTCAACCTTTTTGGCACCAGGGACCAGTTTTGTGGAAGACAATTTTTCCACGGACCAGGTTGCAGGGGGGTTCGGGATGATTCCAGCACATTACAGTTATTGGGCACTTTATTTCTATTATTACATTTTTTTCTTTTTTTGAGACAGAGTCTTGCTCTGTTGCCCAAGCTAGAGTGCAGTGGTGTGATCTTGGCTCACTGTAACCTCAGCCTCCCGGGTTCAAGCAATTCTCCTGCCTCAGCCTCCCAAGTAGCTGGGACTATAGGCATACACCACCATGCCTGGCTAATCTTTGTATTTTTAGTAGCCATGGGGTTTCACCGTGTTGGCAAGGCTAGTCTCAAACTCCTGACCTCAAGCGATCCCACCTGCCTCGGCCTCCCAACGTGCTGGGATTACAGGTGTGAACCACCATGCCCAGCCTATTATTACATTGTAATATATAATGAAATAATTATAAATTCACCATAATGTAGAATCAGTGGGAGCCCTGAGCTTGTTTTCCTGCAATTACACAGTCCCATCTGGGGGTGATGGGAGACAGTGACAGATCATCAAGCATTATTCTCATAAGGAGCATGCAATCCAGATCCCTCATATGCACAGTTCACAGTGGGGTTTGTGCTCCTATGAGAATCTAATGCTGCCAGTGATCTGACAGGAGGTGTAGCTCAGATGGCAATACAAGTGATGGGGAGCAGTTGTAAATACAGATGAAGCTTGTCTTGCTCACCCATCACTCACCTCCTGCTGTGTGGCTTGGTCTGTGGCCTGGGGATTGAGGATCCCTGAGACAGAAGATCAAACTAGCCACAACATTCCCTTAAGCCAAAACCTAATGCAGAGCAAGGTCCCCAGCATTGAGGCAAGACCCTTTTACAGCAAAAAGATTACTACTCACTGAAAGCTCAGATGGTCATTAGCATTTTTTTTTAAGCAACAAAGTATTTTTTAAGGAAGGTATGTGTGTTGTTTTTTAAGACATATGCTACTGCACACTGAACAGACTACAATATAGTGGAAACATAAGTGTTTTTTTTTAAGGCATGCACTTTTATTCAACTGGTCTCAAGTCAGTGTATGGGTATGCCCTGGCTACCTCCACCCACTCCCAGGGAGACCAAAAGCCTTCATACATCTCAAGTTGGGGGACAAAAAAGGAGGGCCACGAAGGCCGAGCATTCAAAATAAAACAAAATAACGAAGTATTAAGGCGAAGATTTAAAAAATGTTGCATTACATAATTTACACGAAAGCAGTGCTATCACCTCCCCTGTGTGGACATGGGAGAGGATTGGGCCATTCTCCTTAGAGAGAAGTGGGGTGGCTTTTAGGAGGGCAAGGGACTTCCTGTAACAATGCATCTCACCATATTTGGAATGACTATTAAAAAACATGTACAATCAAAGTCTCTCGCCACATTGTAGAACTTTGGGGGATGCTTGCTCCAACCAACTGCTGTCACCTTCACCATTCCAGTTTTTAAATCCTGAGTCAAGCCAAACAAAACAAAACAAAATAAAAAAAGTCATGCCAATCTCATCTTGTTTTCTGCACATCTTGTTTTCTGCGCAAGTTAGGTTTTGTCAAGAAAGGGTGTAACGCAACTACATCACAGTCTACCTAGAAGCATTTGCGGTGGACGATGGAGGTGCCTGACTTGTTGTATTCCTGCTTCCTGAGCCACATCTGCCGGACGGTGGACAGCTGGGCCAGGACGGAGCTGCCGATTCACATGGAGTACCTGCGCTTGGCAGGAGCAATACTCTTGATCTACATCATGCTGGGCGCCAGGGCGGTGATCTTCTGCATCCTATCAGCGATGCCAGGGTACATGGTGGTGCCGCCAGACAGCACTGTGTTGGCATACAGGTCCTTGAGAATGTCCACATCACACTTCATGATGGAGTTGAAGGTAGTTTCATGGATGCCACAGGATTCCATGCCCAGGAAGGAAGGCTGGAAGAGCACCTCGGGGCAGCGGAACTGCTTGTTGCCGATGGTGATGACCTGGCTATTGGGCAGCTTGTAGCTATCTCCAGGGAGGAGCTGGAGGCCACCATGGCCCTCTCCTGCTCGAAGTCCAGGGTGACATAGCACAGCCTCTCCTTGATGTCATGCACCATTTCTCACTTGGCTGTGGCGGTGAAGATGTAGCTGTGCTAGGTGAGGATCTTCATAAGGTAGTCAATCAGGTCCGGGCCAGCCAGGTCCACATGCAGGATGGCGTAGGGGAGGGCATACTCCTTGTAGATGGGCACAGTGTGGGTGACCCCGTTACTGGAGTCCATCACGATGTCAATGGTATGGCCAGAGGTGTACAGGGGCAGCACGGCCTGGATGGCTACGTACATGACTGGTGTGTTGAAGATCTCAAACATGATCTGGGTCATCTTCTTGCGGTTGGCCTTAGGGTTCAGGGGGCCTTGGTCAGCAGCATGGGGTGCTCCTTGGCAGCCACACACAGCTCGTTGTAGAAGGTGTGGTGCCAGATCTTCTCCATGTCGTCCCAGGTGGTGACGATGTCCTGCTCGAATGGTGTACTTCAGGGTCAGGATGCCTCTCTTGCTCTGGGCCTCATCGCCCACGTGAGTCCTTCTGACCCATGCCCACAATCACACCCTGGTGCCTGGGGTGCCCCACGATAGAGGGGAAGGTGGCCCAGGATGGGCATTGTCACTTGCAAAGCCGGCCTTGCACATGCTGGAGCCGTTGTCAACAAGCATGGTGATATCATCATCCGTGGTGAGCTGGCGGCAGGTGTGGATGGGAGGTGGAGCGGCGAGGGCGAGGCTCTGTGCTCGAAGGGTGGACACGGTCTCAGCAGAAACATAAGTTTGATATGCACTGGGAAACCAAAATATTTGTCTGACTTTGCTTTTTTGTGATACTTGCTTTATTGCAATGGTCTGGAATCAAACCTGCAATGTCTCTGAGGTATGCCTATAAATAAAACTTCATTCCTCATTATTTATAATGTTTTAAATTACAGCTTACTAACATTAGTTTTACTGTTCTTTTCATTTCTCTATACATATATAACCAATAGTAATAGAGTTTCAAATGTTTTGACACACATTTATGTATCATAAATTTTCTCATTGATTATTAAGATTATATAGAGTCAGTTAGCATGGTAATTTTTGGTCTCACACTAGTGTGCAAAGCAAAAACTACAAGTATTTAGGAAACACGAAGTGAGTTTTTCACTCTACTAAGTACTCATCAGATATTTCTACAGCACTGGGTCCAGTTTAAGCTTTACAACCAAAGATGGGCATGGAAAATGAAGGAGAAGGTAATAATAACAGGTAAGATACTAAAAAAAACTGGCCATAGAAAAACTGTTTAAGGAATTTGATAGATTTTAGCCACTGAAAAGACAGTTGAAGTTGTAATTTAACTATGGCTGATCTTCAATGACCTTTCCATAAAGGACACTGACTAGTCATTATACATCTCTATAGATGACTGAACAAACAAAAACCAGTTTTAAGTGGAACATGATGGATTTGGGTTAACTTAAAAATGAACTTACAGTGAAAGAGGTACTATATATCTGGAACAGATTTCAAAGACAGCTCTGCAATTTTATTTCTGGAAGTCCTAAAATGAACAATTAGTTCTTATCCAATTGGAATGGTTTAAGTTTTGAAAACAGGCAAGGGAAGATGGACTGTATGACCTGTAAAGGTCTCTGCCAGAGTTAAGATGCTGTGATTTTTACCATTGTAGAACTTTATTTTACCCGAAGCTGCCAATTATTTTTGAGCACTGTACTCAAATTGTTCTTTGCTTTGCACATTCAGCTCCCTTTCTCCCAGACTCTCTCCAGCTAAAGGGCATTAGATTATGGAGTGGAACTCCAATGGGAAAGAAAAGCTGCAGAACAATCCTTTTCTCAGTGAGGCTCTGTGATGGGGACTGCAGTGGCTTTGATGTACACAGCTCCCACAGCATCGGTGCATCCATACAAATGAGCCCTGAGTGACTGGGACAGGTCTTTGCTGCTGCTACTGCTGCTGCTGCTGCTGCTGCATTCTGTGCACTCAGACAGTACTGCTCCAGAGCACCTGCTTGGGTTGGAAATATGGATATTCATCATAAAAATCCATAAATTCATTGCCAAATTGGGCATATTAACACCCTCCCAGGACAAGGCATTTACAGGGAGGACAAATATGGACCTTTTGATCTGTCTTCAGTGCTGATAATTCTTGAACATTAAACTAGACAATTCTTGCCACAAAAAATCCACAATCTCGTCTCCATTAAAAATCATCAGGCCTACCAGGTAAGGGATTGATATTTTCAAACAGGGCACTGACGTGTTCTCCATTCTCCTGTTTGCTCAACTCCATTTATGTATTAGCTCTGCTAAACTTGAATCTTGGTCCAACATTCTTTGGAGATGGCTCAATAATAAAATCTCTAACACAGGGCAGTGTCCTAGCCCTGCATCCTTTTTTTAATTAGTAGGTTTCCAGAAGAAAATCGTGTCAGAAAAAATCCAAACCCTGAACGCTGATAGCTCCCAACAAGATGAAGTATGAGAGAAACAGAAACTCTTTAAACTATAAGTTATTTGAGGATAAGGTATCTTCTACTAAAAAACTACTACTAGGAATATTTGTTTTCTACTATAATTCTGGCTTTGAAAATAATAAAGTTGGCTTCAGATATAGAGACTACAAATATTCTCCAATAATGAGTCTCACAACAGAAATGAAATTTGTTCTTAAATCAAATTTCCAGTTGAAGTGTTCTGAGTTTGTTTTTGTTTTGTTTTAATCTGACATAGAGTTTTAGACTTGAGAATTGTCTCTACAGCAAAAATATCCAGTATTGGTTGGACATCCCTGAATATGTCCCAATATTTACTTGATGAGAAGGTTGTAAATTCTTTTTTTTTTTTTGCAAGGGACTGGAGTTTTATTTTTTGTTTATTTTTATTTTTTTGAGATGGAGTCTTACTCTGTTGCACAGGCTGGAGAGCAGTGGTGCGATATCATCTCACTGCAACCTCTGCCTCCAGGTTAAAGTAATTCTCCTGCCTCAGCCTCCTGAGTAGCTGGGATTACAGGTGCATGCTACCATGCCCAGCTAATTTTTGTATTTTTAGTAGAGACAGGGTTTCACCACATTGGCCAGGCTGGTCTCGAACTCCTGATCTCAGGTGATCCACCTGCCTTGGCCGCCCAAAATTCTGGGATTACAGGTGTGAGCTGCTGCACCCGGCTGGACTGGAGTTTTATTATTACTCACATCAGTCTCCAATTCTTATTTTATTTTTAGAGATGGGGTATTTTTCTGCCCAGGCTGGAGCACAATGGCATGATGATAGCTCATTGTAACCTCAAACTCAGGCTCAAGTGGTCCTCCTGTCTAAGCCTACCAAAGCACTGGGATTACAGGCATGAGCCAATGGGCCTTTTTTCTTTTTTTGACATAGATGTTTATTGCTACAAACTCACCTCTTAGCACTGCTTTTGGTGCATTCCATAAGTTTTGGTATTTTGTATTCTATTTTTGTCTCAAGATATTTTAAAAGTTCCCTTTTAACTTCTTGACCTATTGTTTAGAAGCACGTTGTCTAATTTCCATGTATTTGGAAATTTTCTAAAATTCCTTCAGTACTTAACTTCTAGTTTCGTACTAGATATTTGATATGATTTCAATCTTCTTAAACTCATTTAAATTTATTTAGACTTGTTTTGTGCCTAAACATATATATATATATTTTTGAGATGGAGTCTCATTCTGTTGCCAGCTTGGAGTGCAGTGGCACGATCTTGGCTCACGGCAACCTCCAACTCCCAGGTTCAAGCGAGTCTCCTGCCTCAGCCTCCCGAGTAACTTGGGACTACAGGTGGGTGCCACCACGCCTGGCTTATTTTTTTGTATTTTTAGTAGAGATGGGGTTTCACCTTGTTGGCCAGCTTGGTCTCGATCTTTTGACCTTGTGATCCACCTGCCTTGACCTCCCAAAGTGCTGGGATTACAGGCGTGAGCCACCGCACCTGGCCCTAACATGATTTATCCTGGAGAATGTTCCATGTGTGCTAGAGAAGAATGTATATGATGCTGTTGCTGGATGCAATGTTCTGTATATGTCTATTAGGTCCATTTGATGTAAAGTATAGTTTAAGTCCAATGCTTCCTTATTGATTTTTTTTTTGTCTGGATGAAATGTCCATTGCTTAAAGTTGGGTATCAAAGTCCCCTACTATTATTGTGTTGCAATCTATCTCTCCCTTCAGGTCCTTTAATATTTGTTTAATATACTTAGGTGTTCCAGTGTTGGCGCATGTATATGTATAATTGCTATAGTCTCTTGATGAACTGACCTCTTTATATTTATATAATGACCTTGTCTCATTTTACAGCTTTTGACTTAAAGTCTATTTTATCTGATATAAGAATAGTTACCCCTGCTTTCTTTTGATTTCTATTTGCATGGAATATGTTTTGCCATCCTTTTACTTTCAATCTATGTGTGTCCTTAATGGTGAAGTGAGTGTCTTGTAGGCAACATATAGTTGGGTCTTGTTTTTTAAATTCATTCAACCATTCTATGCCTTCTGATTAGAGAATTTAATCCATTTACATTCAAAGTAATTATTGATAGGTAATGACTTACTACTGCCATTTTGTTAGTTTTCTGATTGTTTTGTGGATCCTTTTTTCCTTCTTCTCTTGCTATCTTCCTTTGTGATTTATTTTCTCTAGTGTTAGGTTTTGATTCCTTACTTTTTGTTTTTTGTGAATCTACTATAGGCTTCTGTTTTGTGGTTACCATAAGGCTTACACAGAACATCTTATAGTTATAACAGGCCATTTTAAACTGATAACAACTTTGAGTGCATAAAAAATCTCAGTACTTTTACTCTACTCGCCCCTCATATTTTGTTTTTACTATCAACATTTACATCTTTTTATATTGTGTATCCTTAAGCAACTATTATAGCTATTATTATTATTATTATTTTTTTTTTTCCAAGACAAGGTCTCATTCTGTTGCCCAGCCTGGAGTTCAGTGGTGCAATACTGGCTCACTGCAACCTCTGCCTCCCAGGTTCAAGTGATTCTCCTACCTCAGCCTTCTGAATAGCTGGGACTACAGTCATGTGCCACCACACCCAGCTAATTTTTGTACTTTTTGGTAGAGACGGGGTTTTACCATGTTGGCCAGGCTGGTCTCGAACTCCTGACCTCAAGTGATCCACCTGCCTCAGCCTTCCAAAGTGCTAGGATTACAGGCGTGAGCCACTGCACCCAGCACTATTAGTATTTTTAAATAGTTTTGCCTAACCTTCACGCTAAAGATATAAGTAACTTGCCACCATTACAATATTATTCTGAATTTGACTGTGTACACTTTTACCAGTGAGTTTTATACTTTTATGTTTTAATGTTTACTAATTAGCATCCTCTTCTCTCAGCTTGAAGAACCCTGTTCAGCCTTTTTCATAAGACAAGTTTGGTGGTGATGAACTCCCTCAGCTTTTGCTTATCTGAGAAAGCCTTTATTGCTCCTTCATTTCTGAAGGACGGCTTCCAGGCATTCTTGTTTTCTCCTTCAGCACTTTGAATATAGTCATCCCTCAGCATCTGTGGGGAATTGGTTCCAGGACCCTTTGAGAATACCAAAATCCACAGATGCTCAAGTCCCTTATATAAAACAATATAGTATTTGCATATAACAACATATGCATATCCTCCTACACATTTTAAATAATATCCATATTACTAGTAGTACCTAATACAAAGTAAATGCTATGTAAACAACGGTTATACTATACTGTTTAGGGAATAATGACAAGAAAAAAAAGTCTGTACATGTTTAGTACAGATGGAACCATTGTAGGCTTAACTACATATTTGATCCATGATTGGTTAAATCCATG